GCTTCAGACATCCTTGTAGGTACCTGCTTAACCGCCGTTTTGAAATTCTTGTCTGCTGAGAGTCACCATTTTTTATACCTCAACCAACAAATTTAAAAGTTGTATACTTTTACCCAACCCCGAAATACCAAGGCTTGTGCTACCATGCTTGCGAGTTTTTCCTTTAAAATCTTCTTACCCTGAAGCCTGGCGGGGGGGGGGGGGGGAACATTCTCCCCCACTGGCTGTGTGGGGAGTGTGGGATGACAGATGCCAGCTCTGTGGTGGTCTTTTTTTTTTTTCAAATATTTAGTTATTTATTATGTATACAATATTCTGTCTGTGTGTATGTCTACAGGCCAGAAGAGAGCACCAGACCTCATTACAGATGGTTGTGAGCCACACCATGTGGTTGCCGGGAATTGAACTCAGGATCTTTGGAAGAGCAGGCAATGCTCTTAACCACTGAGCCATAGTGGTCTTTGAGGGTTCTGTGTGATGCAGGAACAACACAAAGAAATGAGGAAGAGAATAAGCTCCCAAGAGAAACAGAAACCACTGCCAGAAAGAAGGTAAGAAAGAGGAATTCCACAGACATAGAAACACTGAGAAAAAAATCTAAAATGCTGGAAATAAAAAATATAAGTCAAATAGAAACCTCTATGGAAAGTCTCACTGGTCAGACAGATCAGGAAGAGTACAGAATATCAGAGCTTGAAGATAAGATAGAGAAATTTGAATGGCCAAACAAGGACAAACGTAAAATTATAAGAAGGTACCAGTAGGAATTTTGAGATATGCATGACAGTCTGAAAAGACCAAAGCTTTAGGTTATAGACAAAAAAAAAACAAGGAGAACAATCCCATTCTAAAAGTGTGGAAAACATTTCCAAATGAATCTTAACAGAAACTTTCCCAGAGTCAGGAAAATAAATACCAAACAAGATACAAGAGACATTTAGAACACCAAAAAGACAAGCAGAAAACAAACCACTTTTGCCATATAGAACAGAGAAAGTATATTAAAAACAACCAGAGAGAAACACCAATCCACAAAAAAAGTCAAGCCCTTCAAAATAACTGCAGATCATTCAACTGAAATTAAAAGCCAAAGGGCTTGGGATGACCTATTTCAAGTCTGAAAGACAACTGCCAACCCAAACTACTAAAATGGATCTTACATTAGATACAAGGCAAGTTTCAGCAAATCGAGAAAAATGAAATGATTATTTGATTGTATCTGATCCCCTTGGAACAAAAACACCAACCAACTAGAGCAACCTTGGAATACAGACAAACCCACGGATAAATCAAGACATAAACCTTAAAAATTTATAGAAACAAATGCAAATGAAAATACAACACATAGCACAGATAACAAAAACCACAGAGACAGGAACTGGGATTCAACCTGAAGGTCAGAAAAGCAAAAACAGTCAGGCACCGGCTCTTACCGCTACCCTCAGTCAAAAATTATGATCCCACCTCCAGGAGTCTCAGAATGAGGCTGTGTCTGAGAGCTGTCTCCTCTTGTCTTACATTCCTCTCTAGTGCTGGAGTTAATTTTTTTAGACTAGATTTATCTCAGGTGGTGAGATTTAATCAATAATTTAAGTTCTTCCAACTTAAAAAAAAAAAGTATCGTAGGAAAGAGCCACTTGTTGGTTCCTGGCCGTTTAGCCCCAAAATAATGACACAGAAACTGCATTAATTAAATCACTGCTTGGCCCATTAGCTGTAGCTTCTTATTGGCTAACTGTTACATATTAATTTAATCCGTTTCTATTCATCTGTGTATCGCCACATGGCTGTAACTTACCAGCTAAGCTCTGGCGTCTGTCTCTGGCAGATACATGGCTTCTCTGACCCCGCCCCCTTTCTCCCAGCATACAACTTAGTTTTCCCTGCCTACCTAAGTTCTGCCTTGCTATAGGTCCAAAGCAATGTCTTTATTCATTAACAGTAATCACAGCATATGGAGGGAAATCCCACATCAAAAAAGTACAGATCCAAGAACAGACTTTCCAAAAAGAATCAACAGCAATGCTTCTTAAACCACCTCATAAAGTAGAAAAGGAAGGAAAATTCTCAAACTTTTTTTATGAGGTTAGTATTACCCTGATACCAAAAGTAGGTAAACATACAACAACAACAAAAAAATTACAAGTCCAATTTCCCTAACGAATATGGATGAAAAAATTCTCAGCAAAATACTGCAAATTGAACTCAAGAACACATCAAAAAGGTCACTCACCATGATCAAGTTAGGTATAGTGTATAGATTCAAGGGTGGTTCAATAGACACAAATCAATAAATATTTGATGAATGGGCTCACGGACAGAAATCACATGGTCACCCACCCTGATACGTACAGAAAGGATTTCTGGAATACCACATTCCTTCATGTTAAAAGTCCTGATGGAGTTCATAATACAAGGAATGTATATCACTATAATGGGAGATGTATATACATGATAAGCCTACAGACAACATAATATTGAATGGGGGGCATTCAGAACATTTCTACTAAAATCAAGACAAGGGTGTCCACTTTATTCACCTTATTCAATACAGGACCGGAAGTCTTAGCAAAAACAATAAAGCAAAAGAAGCAAGCACAAGGATTCAAATAAGAAAGAATTCTATAGCTCAATAAAATAAAATAACAACTAAATCAAAGTCAAAAATAAACAGATATTAGGAACAATGGCAGTCAGGGGACAACTTTTAGGAGTTGGTTTTCTCCTATCATTCAGGTCCGGGGGATCGAACGCAGGGTGTCAGGGTTGGTAGCAAGTCCCTTCACCTACTGAGCCACCCCACCAGCCCATACTTTAAGTAGTTGTAAGCGGTTGGTATGGAAAACATTTTAAAGTGAACCTATCAAAGTACTGGCCTTGAATTTTAACCAGCCCCCTTGAGTATAAAATGCTGGGGCGTGGTTTGCTTAGAGTTCAGAGTTCCTCTGTCACTAAAGTGTGACCACAGAACAGAAGAGCGAACAGAAGCAGGCTCTTTCACAAAATAAAAGTCGTAGGCTTTTGTTCTGGAGAAGAACTAAATACATTTTTTAAAAGAAGAAAAATAAAAAAAGAATTCTAAGTATCGCCATTTGCAGATGATGTGATTGTACACATAAGAGACCCTAAAGACTCTACCAGAAAACTCTTAGGAATAATAAATAATTTCAGGCAAGTGGCAGGATACCAAACTAACATACAAAAGTCGGTATTAATAACCTTCCTATATGTCAGTGAATTCCATTTGCAGTGAGTGGCTGGGCACAGGGGCTTGGAAACCAACACCATTAGACATCTAAGAAAGAAAATTATAGCAGGGAGGGTTAAACCAAACCCCCTCTGTATCAGCTAAAGTGACCCACTTACCAGCGACCCGAATCCTAGGAGGTTCCCATGGTCTACGATGGCTGCATTGGGGGCTCAAGTCCCAGGGAAATATTAGTCTTTGGTCACCAAGTCCAGGAAACCCAAGAGATTGTGAAGAAGGAACTTGAGAGATTGGCCTACCTTGTCTAGGGAAATTACAGCAATCAAGTCTCCAGCAGCTTGTTTGTCCACAGTTTGGGCACAAGCCTGGTGGTACACAAGGCATGGGGTTGTTTATCCCAGTGGTTAGCTTTACCACAATCCAGGTGGTGTCATCCCAGTCCCACCTCCCCCCCTCCCCAATAGTCTTCTTTGGAGACCTTAAGGTCACCACTAGATGCTGGCATTTATGTCTGTTGTGAAACACTTTTTTCATTAAACATTTTACATGCCATGTCAACAGATCTCTGAAGATTTTGAAGACCACACTTTGTTAAGTATATCTGAGCTAAACAAACTTTGTTTTTAGTTACTAGCTTCAGGCTAAACTTGGTAAACACATACAGAAGGATAAATAAAGCTTGTCATTGTAAACGAATTTTGTTTTAACTTAGCGTGGCTACAGGCCTAGTTCTGAAGAATTTGATTCACCTGTATGTCTTAATTATGTTCAACAGTTTACAACAAGTGCGTAGCATTTATACAATTAGGATTTTTACAGCTTTATCTCTGTTAAATTTGCACCTTAAAGATTTCATTGAAGATTATTTAGCATCAGAATAAATATCAGACCATAAATGCAGTCCATAGGGAGACTGGCAACTTAATACTTTTTCTGGTCCTTTCATGGTATGCGATTACAGAATATCAGTTTTTTATATGGCTCAGTTTAGTGAAACCGCTAAAGCTTAACAAAGTTAACAAAGAGCAGGAGGCTAGACATACATTCTTAGTCAGCCTCTGCTGGCCTGAAGAGACCTTAGGTTAGGAGACATTCTCTCGGCTCTTTTGCCAGACTGCTTGTCACTCTCTTGCTGAATCACAAGACAGGAACATCCCAGTTTCTAGTGTTTAGTGTTTGCTGCTCGTAGCTGTGGCCCTAATCTTTAGCCTTTTATTTATTTATTTATTTATTTATTTATTTATTTATTTATTTATTAAGATTATATATTTTAGCCGGGCGGTGGTGGCGCACACCTTTAATCCCAGCACTTGGGAGGCAGAGGCAGGCGGATCTCTGTGAGTTCGAGACCAGCCTGGTCTACAAGAGCTAGCTCCAGGACAGGCTCCAAAACCACAGAGAAAC